ATTTAACAGAACAGTAGGACTTTATTATACACCTGTGTGCGTTATCTTCTTTAAAACAAAATGTGATCAAATCATTCCAGTCTTAAAACCTGGAACTAATGTGTAAAGTAAAAAGTGTGTGTGTGTGTGTGTGTGTGTGTGTGTGTGTGTGTGTGTAGTGGCAGGCCATCTCTCTGACCGTGATTGAGAAGGTGCAGATAGCAGCCATAGTCTTGGGCTCGCTCTTCCTCATCGCCAGCGTTTCCTGGCTGGTGTGGTCGTCTCTCAGCCCCTCGGCCAGGTGGCAGCGGCAGGACCTCCTGTTTCAGATCTGCTACAGCATGTACGGCTTCATGGACATAGTTTGCGTAGGTGAGAAGGAGGCTCTTTGTCCGTCATCTAATAAAAGTCTACTGGGTGATGTGGTTTTACGTTTCACTTTCCTATCAATGCTGTTTATGTATTAATGTACAAAAACTTTATTGTGTTTTACATGAACTTTTCCTCCCAAAAGCATACATTTACTAACTTTATTCATATTATTTTTAAATGTTGTTTTTAAAACTACATCATTTCCCTTAAATTGTACTTTACGCAGATTATTCTCCTTTCTTGTTTGAAAGAGGTGGGCAGTCCTGGTCCTCAAGGGCTGCAGCCCTGCACGTTTTACTTGTTTCTCTGCTCCAACACACCTAATTTGAATGAATGGATGATTATCAGACTTCTGCAAAACTTGGAAGAGGTAATTATGTGACTGAATCAGGTGTGATGGAGCAGGGAAAAAGTAAAACATGCAGGGCTGTGGCCTTGAGGACCAGGATTGCCCACCCCTGCGTTAGCCTGTCCTTCAGGTCACAAATCAACTCTGTTTCTCCCAAGTCAATCAAGGAGCAACCTACAATAAATAAGATATTGTTTGTGTATAACCAATATTTTCAATTTGGCAGCAAATCTCTGAAACAATTTATTTTCAAACCACTCTCAAACAACCCAAGGTACATTCTGTACCTTCTGTAAAGTTTCTATGAACTCTAATAGTTCCAAACAACAAAAACAACAACAACAACAACAACAACAACCCGTCTCATTAAAACTCTAAATCTAGTCTAAGTCATGACAACTTTTTGTCCCTCAGGTCTTATAATGCACGAAGGATCATCTGTTTACCGGATCTTTAAGCGCTGGCAGGCAGTGAACCAGCAGTGGAAAGTGCTGAACTACGACAAAGCCAAGGATTTAGGCAACCCTGTCGGCTGCAGCAGTAAAGCTGCTGCTCAGGCGGAGGGGAACTTTTCAGATGGCGTCACAGACAGCGGCCGGACAACGAGCCGGTACGTCAGGACTATTCTCAACCACCACTGTGGCTACGCCATCCTGCACATCCTCAGCCAGCTGAGAGCATCCAACCTGAGCGGCTCCAACCAGGAGATGGTCATGAGAGTGACCACCGTATGAGGCCAGGACAGGACTAAAGGTCCTTGAAGGAGACGTTAAAGTGCTGATACACACAAACCCTAATGTGCCATAAAAAACTGCCTGAAACTGTAGTTGTACATTTTATTCTTAAAACTTTCACTGAGCTATGAGGAAAAACATGTTTCTGAGCTGTGTGAGTGCACATCATTCCAGTAAAACCTACAAGACTGTGAAAAAAAAAATTCTGGATAAAAATTTGAATTCTTGATCAAATCTATGATTTTTTTATCACCTTGACACATATTTCTAAATGTAACTAAGTTCATTTTTACTTAATTTTTTGTATTTTAATGTTTGATGTTGTAAAACTTTGGATGATAAAAATGATTGCGTATATATATATATACATACACACACGCACACGGTTATAAAGTAATGTTTGAGTGCTGTAGTCAGCTTGGTATTCAGATTCTGACTTTGTTTTTTAGGTTTGAGGGTCACATGGACGGTCCTCCTGGGATGTCCCACTCTTCGTTCTCCGTTAACCACAGCATCCTGGAGGCTGTGAGACCCCGTCTCAAAGACTTTCACCAGCTGCTACTTGAACCCCCAAAAGTAAGAAAACTGATGTGATCCGTTTCCTTTAAATCAGGCATGAGCATTCCTGGTCCTGGAGGGCAGCAGCCCTGCATGTTTTACTTGTTTCTCTGCTCCAACACACCTGATATGAATGAATAGATGATTATCAGGCTTCTGCAGTACGGAGGACCAAAACTGACATAAGTAGAAATAAAAGCAGAATTATATGAACCATTAAATAAATACACTTAAAATGCACTAATTAAATTTAAAAAGGAGAACTTTATCTCTTGTTTTATATTTATATTAACTTTCATATTTATTTTTCCAGGTTAGTTCCAATAAATTAGTCTATATAGTTGAACACATAATTTAATATTTACTGTTTTTTTTAATATATATTAATTGTTTTTCCTTTTACTTGTACATGCATTTGTGTGTCTTAAATGTTTAATTATTTTTATATATTTTCCAGCAAGTCTTTTTATTTCTATGTGTTGCACGCTTGTGCTGCCTCAGTTTAGCTAAAAGTTTAAAGTTTAATTTAAAACAAAGCAAGGAGGAAAACATTACCTGTGCATTTATTTTTAACTAAACTTTAAGCTAAATTGCAGCAGCACATAGAAATAAAAAGACTTGTTGGACAAAATTATAAAAAAAAATTCAATTTATGCATTCAAGAGACACAAATGCATGTACAAGTAAAAGGAATGTANTTTTTTATTATAAAAAAGATATAAATTGAACATTTTATATGCCACAGAAACAAGTAATTTTTTAATCTAGGCACATTCTTTTTATAAATTAGAGACTAGTTATTTTTTTATTGCTGCGGATATGTCCATGAAACAGGTTTATGATAATACTTTATGGCAGGAGAACTGAGCCTGCTGCACTTCAGACGGTAATGAAATTCACTATATTTCCAAAGTTTTGTTGTGCAGCAATGTAAAGTGATTAACCGCATTTAACTAAATCAGTTCAAACAAATGCAACGAATTAACAAATTAACCATTTTATATAGTTATTTTTTTTAACTTTCAACGTGTTACTATTTTTTTTTTTTTTTTTTTTTTACATGATCTAATTATAAAATAATAACTAGCGATCAGATCTGGCAACCCTGAGGAGACGCTTTGTGATGACGTCAAACTTTCGCGACTCTACATGCGACAAACCAGTCAAAGAAGAAACAAATCGAAGTGGCTTTCTTTGTGATTCTTAGTATTTTAGAAACACTTTGGACACTGTTCCTGCTCCAGTTCAGTTCAACATGGCTTCGTCGATGCCACAGAAGCGTTTTTACAGACAAAGAGCCCATTCTAACCCGATGGCGCACCACTCTTTCGAATAGTGAGTCATCTCCATCAGACTTTTCACACCATTCAGTGTTTTACGGTTTGGTTCGTCAAAGTTAAGAACAACAGTACAGTTTTTGTTTTTATTTTTTGATCAAAAGCATGACTAAAAGAGTGATTGTGAAACTTACTATATAGCTTCACTTCATACCGTCTGAATAGTGACATCTGCTGGCGATAAATAAAACTACATCAAAATAACAAAACCTGAGAATGCCCCATCACTACCGATCACATAATGCTCGTCCTATTTAATAAATATTGTGAATACTGTATATATAGATATTTAAAACAGTGTGGAATGACCTAGTGCTTTAGCTATATAATATATAATACACAGTAATGTACAGAGGTCTATAGTAACTAAGTATATTTACTTTGTTACAGTACTTTAGTATTTTTTTTGAGGATTTGTAGTTTTACCAAGTATTTTTTTAAATCGTGACTTTTTCTTTTACTTAGTTACTTTTAAAACCTAAAAATGATACTTTTACTTCTTTACTTTAAAGTTTAACACCTAGTTACTTGTTATAAATGAAATCTGTCTGAACTCATCATGAAAGGAGTTGTTTATGTGCTCTAAAAAATTAAGTGTCGAATTTACTCAACTAAATCACATCAACTATTTCCTATATATATATTATTTAATATAAAAAGCATTTTATAAAATAGATGTTTTTTTTTCCTTAAAGGAATTTCTTTTAAATACTATTCATATAATGAAGATAAATTTCAGGCCTGACTTCTTTTTGTCTTTATTTTTAAACACAAACTACACTATATGCTGTTATGGTCCAATACAGAGTCAGGGAAGGAACTGAGTGAAAAAAAAAACAGCCAAAGTCCAAAGAAAATCTCTGAGAGACCTTCAGAAAGCCTGAGGATCGATTGATCCAAACGACCTTAAAAAAACTTTGTCCTTGGCTGCAAAGAAGAAAGAACTTAGGTCTGGTTTAAAACTTTTGCACTGTACTAAGTGTACAGCACTGTAAGRCATACATACATACAGCTGTTACTGTAATTTAAATGTATTATCTTGTCTTTTTTCCTGACTAGTAATTTGAATCAATTCTGCCTTCCTATCCCTGCAGTTTCTGGACCTCTCAGCTCATAACGACTCAATCTGACTGACAATTCAATATTGATCCCCATTACACACTTTTTGGACTTGCTCCCCAAAGCTATCGACTCTTATATTGCGTTGTCAGAGACATTGATTCAAGATTTGATCATTCCATCAGTCTGTTCCGTTTTAAAGACCCAGCTAATTGAATCTGCATCTTATCTAATAGAAGTCACAATGAGTTCAACACTGATATCCCCTGATGAAAGCATTCTTTCATTTTGCTTATATAATTTTATTTTATTTTAAAAAATTCACCTTACAAATCTGTAAGACCCAATATATTATTTTCATGATAGCAGTTTATATTATTTGTTGTTGTCTGCCGTCTCTCTTCAGTACAAATTAGTTACAATATATAGTCTTTGTATCTTACTGTGTCCTCCTCTTCCTCTTCAGTCCGGTGTGTCCTCAAGAAATGGACTGGTCCGAGCTGTATCCAGCCCTCTCAACCTCTGACCCATCTGAGCAAGATATCCCTCAAGTCGAATTTGCAGATGTTGGCTGTGGATACGGGGGCCTTCTAGGTAATTAGGTCACAGATCTGTTAAGCTGCACTTTTCTTCACTCAAAGACTTATTCTAGATTGATCTGATGTTTTTCTGTCTTTCTTCATCCTTCACTCTCTCCAGTGGAGTTATCGCCGCTCTTCCCAGATAAACTTATCTTGGGTTTGGAGATTCGGGTGAAAGTATCGGATTATGTTAAGGACCGCATTCAGTCGCTGCGCGCCTCTAACCCGGGAGGCTACCAGAACATCGCCTGCATTCGCAGCAATGCAATGAAGTACCTCCCCAACTTCTTTTTCAAAGGACAGGTACTTTTGAACGATTTCCTGTGCATACTGTAAATACACTAACAATACTTTATATATTTATAGCACCACTTTGGCTATGTTCACACTGCAGGTCTTAATGCTCAGTTCCGATTTTTTGAAAAAATACGATCTTTTTGTGTGAACGTTCACATTACATTTTAAATG